GGCCTCCCCCCCCTGTTGGGACCCCGCTTGCCGGAGGGGCGGGGGGGGCAATGGGGGGGGCTTCCTCTTGGCCCAGGAAGCACTCATTGACAAGGTTGTTCTCCTGTTTGACAGCGTGGACGAGCTGGTGCTGAGCACCTACCCGCCTGTGAACCAGCTGGCCCTGCGCCTGAATGTGAGTGGCCCCTATGACCGACCGGGAAGGAAGGGGAGGAGCGGCAGGGGGGGTCGGGGGGAGCTCCCTGCCTGCCTGCTGTGGCCCAGCTTCTCCCGGCACCTTCGGAGGGTCCCCTGCGTGACATGCCGTGAGCCGCTCTCAGGCTGGGGGGTGCTTCCAGTGCGGGCCAAGGGGCTGGCGCGGGCACACACACACACCAAGGGGCAGACAAACCTTGGTCCTAACCCCTCGACGTCCAAGGAGGGGCAGAAAAAGCGACGCCTCTTCCTTCTTGCTGCACGTCCAGCGCTGGGGCTCCTGCGAGAGGCGGGGAGCAGCGACTGGCCAGTGGAGCAGCTGGGCTGCCAGGCGAAGCGGGGTGGGGTGGGGGCTGCCCTGCCAACGTGGCTTTCCCGCGGGGCGGGGGGATGGCGGCTGTGCAGCGGTGGCACTTCGTGGCCTTTGGCTCCTGCCTGAATTGTTTTTCCTTCCTAGGCTGGAAAACTGGCCTCGGTGCTGAAGAAGATGCTGGAGATCGCCAGGTGAGCTGGCAGGGTTTTTTTTGGGGGGGGGCTGCGAGTGGAGGAGGCTGGTGATTCCAGACCTGCTGCCGATGCGGCCCCCTGCCCTCCTCTTGGCCAGGGCCTCTTTCCTAGGATGGGGTGGATGGGCTGAGAGCAGCCCCTCCCCCATGAAGACCCAGCCCCTCCCACCCCACCTTGACTGATGGGGGAAGGATGCTGGGTGTGTGGCAAGAATGCTGACACCCTCCCTCTCTCCTTCCCTCCCTCTGCAGGACCAGCCATGTTTGCCCTTCGCCTGAAGAGGACTGGGTGCGATTCCTCACTGGGGCTGTGGATCACAACATGGGCAGAATCAAAAGCCTGACGCAAGGGCTGCTTTGACTGGGGCGGGGGTAGTCCTAGGGGAGGGGCCCATGTGCTTGCTCGGTTTCTGCGGGGACGTGGGCTGTGGACAATAAAGCCCGCTGGGCTGTTGTTGGCCCCGATTTTGCAGAAAAGACTTGTGTGTGGTTGATGCAGAGCATGGTCCCCCTTTTCTTCTCACCCCTGGCGCTTGGTGGGGTGCCAGTCACAAATCCGGTGTGAGCAAAATAGCAAGCAGGGCTTCGGGGGGGGGGGG